AAGGAAGTACTTGTAATACATTGTGTTCTGAAAGAAAATCATAATCACTATGCTATCGTCTCATGATCAATTCAGATGGGGGACGTCTTTCAATTTACATAAAACTATTGTATTCTAGTTTGAAGCGGAACAAGTGATCCTTTGATCAGTTTCTTATTCAAATTTCAGTGCAGACTTTTCCAGATAAAAACAAAATTTATTCATCAGATACATGTGTCAACGTGCATTCGACTGCGAATTTCAATTCGGTACTGAATCTTTAAGTCATCAAAGTTTTTAAATTTTTAAAACATCCATTAATTTTTATTTCTCTTTTCTGTTGTAACTTGAATTGCCATAGTAAACCTTATCATTGATTTGTAAATATCTTTAGGTATGAAAAATGAGATATGAAATTAAAACATCCTTTAAAACCTCATACTTACTGATCTATTTTGTGAACTTTATATGATCTAGAAAATGTCATTTAAAGGTAAGGATATAAAAGTACTAAATAAATATAGCTGAAAAGTTTGAAACTTTTCTGTACATCAGTCTAAGTAACATTTTAGGATATCTTCCCGAATTGTAAAACTGTGTACAGCTTTACTACATCTATGTATGACAAAAGTTTTCAAATTATCCTAATTCATTTGGCACACACTACATTTAATTGGTTGAACATTACTCTTTGTTTGGCATTACAATTAAAATAATAATTTTTCTGGGGGGGGGGGGGGGTCTTCCCTCTTCTGGGACCCTATTAACTGTTAATTGACACAATGTATTCTACTACTGAAGTATTTCTTTTTTTCTTTTTCTTTCAATGGAACACATGATATTAAAAAGGTATCCCCTGTGTTAACATGGTGTATATTTGTAAAGTAAGGTTTTTTTATATACAGGTACAAAACTGTAGTTCTCTGGAAAATTAAATTCGGACATTTTACCTGAGATCTAATGTTCAATAAGCATTAAAATTTGTGTAAATAAAGAATGAATAAAATATTTAAAATTATGAGTCCCCCTTAATGTCTCTTGATCATGAGCTAAACTTTAGCTAAAGCAACCGCAAACATACATATTAAGAATTATTATAAAACTCCAATCCGATATCAATATATAACATAATTTTAGAAACTCTGTCTGCTGTTGAAAGACATGTTCGTTTATAATATTAATCTCACATTCTCTATGTTTATACTAGGTATTTTAATTTCGTCAACCAACAATCCACCGTTCATAAATTATTAAACAGTTATTTCAGTATATTCTTAGAAAAATAATGCTATGGTTTTAGAGACAAATAAGTTGAATATTACACGAAAAAATAATAGCAAATAAAGATACGTGAAGTACTTATTTTAAATAGGAATACCCTCTCTAGCGAGGCATCCTTCCATTAGTTTAATTAGGACTGTGTCCCCATTTTATCTTTTATTGAGGAAAGATCCGAGTTTCTTTTATGAGAAAGACAAAAAGTATCATTTTTAAAAATCTTGAACATTTTCTTACCTTATTCTGTGATCTTTAAACCTCAATATTAATAGTGTTTTTTTTTTAATTTTAGGCCATTAGGAGTACTGATACTAAATTGCATTAAAAAGCCCAAAGAAAACTAAAGTTATCATCTTGAAAGTTCTTTTTGCAGTGTATGAAATTCTGCATTTTACTTTTGATTTCGACCTGAAAATCAATAGAGGTTTTTTTTTTTAACCAAAGAGAGTTGTAAAGAAATAAAACTTGCAATAGATCACAACCTTTGAAATCTTCCGGAAACGAACGTGGTAGACACAGACAGAATATCTTAATTTCTTACTCTAACCTGTGACAGTTTAACTTCAAAATCAATAGTGTTTTTTTAGGCTTTAGGGAACTGTGATATTAGATTTCATTGTTAAAGCTCCAAGACATTTTAGATTAATTTATCCGGAAACGAAAAATTTAAAGACAGACAGAATGATACACAGACATACAGATGGACGAATGAACAATCTCAAATTATTATTATCAATTCCAGTGAAGTGTACCGTTTTGCATTACGTCACAACCTATTTCGACAGCTGCGCTCAAGATAAATAGTACATGTACACGCCTCCTAACCGCAAGCTTTATGTTTCTTGTTTGTGTTTTTTTCTTAAATAGTCTGTTGCAAGAGCAACCAATCAGGGATAAGGAGAAACTACCAATCATAATGCTTGCAGTTAGGAGGCGTGTACTATTTGCATTCTAGTATTTACATTATGTACTATTTATTGGAATTGATAATATCCCAAAGTTTCGGTGAAAGCGGGAACAAAAAGAGGTTAACGAATCTTGATGGCATATCCTAAGTTTTAGTTTTCTTAGGCTTTAACCAAGTAAGTCCCACCTGCGAATGGAACTCTCCACTCCTGTGACATAATTTGGCATTTGATAAAATGTTGAAGCTTCCAGATTTAAAATTGTATAAAATGTTATTAAAGTTTTGATGACTACAAGTACTTATCAGCGGAATTAGAGAAAAAATTAAAAAAAATTTACACAAAGGTGATTTGAGATATATATTATCTACATTATCATCCTGTTAACTTTTAGGCTACTCAGTGCATGTTCAGGAGTAAATACTCATGTTTTGAAGTATCTCATGACTTCAGATACTAACCTACCTACCCTGTATAGTAATTGAACAAAATTAACATTTAGGGAGCAGGGTCAAAACCCCTAAAAACTACAAATCCCATTTTGACCATACTTGTTTTGCGTTTCTGTCCCAAATACGAATTAATTTAAAAGTTATCCTGATGAATGAACTTGCTATAAATGTAGATCCATTTTCGAAAAAAAAAATTAAGTAAATCTTAATCAATCTGTTAGTGATGATTCGTTAAGGAATATAAACTAACAGAGATATATTTATGTTTCATAATACATATAGATGTTGAAAATTTGTAGCAAGTGCATTACCAAGCAACTTTAAGTCTACCCAAAGCATAAATGCATTAATAATGCATCAAGGGATGCATACTAAAAGAATATTTACTAATGTTTGTGGTAAGTAATATACACCAGACAAAATTGCTTACGCAATAGAAAAATAGTCAAAGAAAATAGTCTTTTAAACTTTTTAGAACTTGTTTATGATGTTTTCGATATATACTGAAAGGAAAAAAACGCAGGGTAACAAAATATGCGAAAATGTTTTGACTGCATAACCAAAAATTATAAAAGTTGGTCAGTGGGATATCTTGGTTACTGTGCACAACTTTACGTTAGTGTTCCTCTCACTCGCGCATGCGTGCGTCGTTTGCCTATTTTTTTTCCCCCGCATGTTAACCCCCGTCCCAATGCTGACAGGGTTTTTCAAGATTTTCTTGCAAACAATTACATTTATCCACTGGACTGGTCTCCGTAAAGTCCATCTTTTTCGCATCAAACATCTTTGGGACTACGTGGACGATAGGGTTCAAAATGCCAAGCTGGTCTCAATCAACTAAGGACTACCTTCTCGGAAGGGTTGAATAATATCCCTAGTAGAAGCATAAACACACTGATGAACTCCATACATAGGAGAATCAAGGCTGCGACAGATGCGCGAGGGAGACATGTGAGATAATGAGAATTTTCATTTTTCACTTTTGGGGGGTAGCGTCATATGAGTTTCAATATCTCATGAATAATTGGGGAATATCAAATAAGAATTTGATTACATTTTTATTAAAAATGATTTTTAGTGTTAGATAGGAATACTGGAAAATACGTCTGAAAAATATAACCTTATTTCACTTAAAAAGTCCACCCTGCGTTTTTTTTTCCTTTCAGTATATAAATATGTTAACAAAGTAAAAGATTAGGCACATAAATGCCTTAATTAATCAATAACTACAATGTTAACTGAGCCGTAACCATTTAATATGCAATGAAAATGGGTGTTTACACTTTTTGGAGGAATAAATTCCTTACGGTTTCAGAGAAGTAGCGATAACAGGGATTATAGTGAAAGGAGCAATAATTTATTTTTGTTCTTTATAATTGTACTAATCAAAACCTCAGAAAAAAAATTACACCGCATGCGGCGTTTGCCCCTAGATAAGCAGATAGTATGGTGTTGCAGGTTGCTCCTTTAGAGAACAATAGCAATAAATAAATAAATAAATAAATAAATTTAAAAAAAAAAATAAAAAAATAAAAAAAAAAAATATATATATATATATATATATATATATATATATATATATATATATATATATATATAAATAAAATAATTTAAAGATTATTCTTTTTTCTTATGAAAAATTGTTGCAAGTGGATTAACAATCATGAAAATGTTTTTTAGATAGATAGCAACTGCATTAACTAGTCATCACATGAAATTTCAAAACTGTTCCACAAAACTAAGGCAAAATTGGGGAAACCAGGAAGTGGAATCGGTATGGATACCAAGGCACTGGATAGTCGCTTGATTTTTTATTTGATTTTCAACTACTCAAAGAGACTGATTCTGTTCAAACCTCCCGGACCACCCTTGGCAATCAACATCTTCATATCTGGGCAAAGCAGTGCGTAAGTGGAAAATTCGTTTTCGGGCAAGAAGGTCATTTAAGGGTCTTTCATAACACTAAGACATTTGTCAATTCCACTTTATTGGGATGCCATATTAGATGCACTAGTGCCGATTAGGCAAATGTTCAATTTAACAACCGATAATAACAAGCTTTAAGTGGTGCGTTAGCACTTTTATCTAGTAGGCCTATTTATCTATTAATTTTATTCGTTGAGTTGAGCTTTGTAATCATTGTATGCTAAATAGAACTGTTGAGATTATATCAGTTACACATAAGTACGACGCAATTACATACCTGTACACTTCATTGGTCTTCATTTAGGTGGGACGCATTAATTACATTGTATTGCATGTATCAATTAATCTGTAGAGTATGACTGTCGGAAAATCATTGAACAAACCTCAACGCAGTCATAATAAAATTAAAATGTTTTAAGCTACTCTTAGATACAACGTATGAAAGAGCAGAGGCAGAAAGTATGGATTGTGATGACGATATTGGATTTCCAGCAACAGATGTAACTTTAGTTGTAGAAGATAAGAAAATTCACGTAAACAAAGCTGTTCTTTCCCAGCATTCACCAGTGTTTAATGCCATGTTTTCTGGAAGCTTTAAAGAAAGCAGTACAATAGTCATAACGCTGGATAACAAAAAGGCTAAGGACTTCGTTGCTTTTCTCGGATGTTTTTATCCAAACATGAATCATACACTAACAAGTAATGTATGCTGTATATACGATTTTCCTTCAAAAATAAGTTCTCTCATTTGAAATGATCACTGTTTCTATTACGATATTTTTTTTAAACTTTTTTCTTTCAGAGGAAAATGTGTTACAGATATTACCTTTGGCACACGAGTACCAATCCTCCGTGGTTAGTAATTGTGAAAAATTCATGCAAAGTATGTGTTGCCGAGAAACAAATCTGACAGTGACAACACTACTGGATTTCATTCTAGCAGCCGAAAAATATGACCTAAAGAAGTTTCTAGACACGGCGGCGAAGTTCTGTGGCGAAGTAGATTTCGATCTTCTCAAGGGAAAATCGTTTGATAGAAAACAGTTTTACAAGAATGTCAACTATAAAGAAACGATTGACGAAAAAATCTCATCAAAATACTCAAGAATTGATCCTGAAACTCGTCTTGCTATAGCAGAAAACAGACTAAAAACTCTTGAGATGCGTAATAGAAAGATAAAGAACGGAGACTCAATAGAAAATACTGATATAGACATATATTTAGTTTCATATGATTTTTTTCCTTAAGAAAAACCTCAAACAATTTTTAAGCTGACGCAAAAATCTACTCTTGAGGTATTTCTATCAATTTTTTTTTTCAGTATAGCACATTATGCAAAGGTACTTAAAAATTGCTATCTTAAAACAGTATTTAAAATTGCTGTGTGTCTAAAAATGTCTGAAATTAAATTTTGAACTTTTAAAAAAGTTTGAATTGTCATAGCGCAATATTTCGCGCTGCATACATGTACTGAGGAGTAATTTTACACCTTTAAATGATTTAACAAACTTATCAGATTGAAAATATTATTATTTTTAAGTTGATTATTACAAGTAAACAAAATTGGGTCTTTTTTTCTCAAATTTTATATTACATGGTTTATTTGATTTATTTTACTTTCATGATATAAATTTTCTGTTATAGAATTGTAAAATTTACAGCCAGTTCTTTTTATTTGCTTGTGTTTTGCACAGTACTTCCTTTGTTTTGTTTTGTTTTTTTATTTTGTTTGTTTAATGTGCTTTCGAGAATTTTTCACTCTTAAAGAGAAGCTGCCATTTGACAATGAGTGAAAGATTGCAAACTTAGACCTGTACTAGGCACTTAGGACCTTGAGCAGTTAGGGAACTTTTTAGGGCTAGCACCTATTGTATCACTGGACCTCCGTTTATACAGTCTCAATTGAAGGACCCGTCTCCACTACCCACATTGGGATTCAAACCGGCGATGTAAGGATAGCTCCATACACCGCGACTTAAGGACAGAAGCTCTAACCACTGCGCCGCGCAGGTGACTTGAAATTTTGTCAATGGGTACACTTCATTACCACACTTAAGAATTTTTAAAAGTCTTATTGAATTCCGACTACAGCTTGCAGACTGAATGAATTACACAATTTATATTGAATAGAAGTCATACTTAATTATACACTATACTCAGACTACATAATTATATTGAATAGAGCTTACATTCTGTGTCATCGATATGATCAAAGGCATATTTATGTTTGTAGCGGTAAAGTGTTTTAATCTCCAATCGTCTTATAAGTAAGATAAAGTGGTAATGAGCAACCCAAATTTAGAAGAAAAAAAAGTAGCGGTAATAAGTTTGAATTTTTTGCAATGAAGCGGTTATGGTGAACTACCATTTTTCCTTTTCATAGTGGGGTAACAAAAATTGCTAGTGAAATGCTGAAAATTTAGAATTGTGCTCAGGGCTTTAGGTATTGAGCAGTGAGAAATTTGTTTTGCACCAGCCCCCGAAGGACCGGTCTCCAAGTCCCGTAGTGGGATTCAAACCCACGAGGCTAGGATCTTCTCCTTACTCCACGACTAAATCTTACCACTGCGTTACACGGATGTTTCCCTGAATGTAACTGGTGCAATGACCTGTTACAATGATAAGTCTTATGACACGTTTGACATATCAGCATAAACAGCATATACATGTACAGCATATATAGATAACTCTTAATGATCATTCGTCTGTATGCAATATTCTGCATGTCTGTCCAGTTTAATCTTACATGTATGACAGATATTCTATAAAATAAAATACACTTCAACTGTCAAGGTAGTCCCACATTATTTTCTACAAATGTTTTGAAGAGCAAGCGATCGATATTTATGAAAGAGAAGAACATTTACGTAGCGTTCTTTAGTCTGAGGAAAATACTATCTATTTAAGGAATGAAGCTTATTTTACCTATGTTATACGATATCACGTAACTTGGGACAGTTTACGCTTTATAAACCGCGAAGTACTTACTTCTAAAAATTATGACAATCTTGAAACATTGGAATAAATTGAAACAATAGATTAGGACTTAAAGCAGGGGCATGTACTTCTATTATTACAAATAATAGCAAACAAATTTAAAAAAAAATAATTATATAAATTATAGAAGAATATTGTAGAGAATGAGTTATTTTGCGGGTGAGTATTTCATTCAATTTCATAAACTGACGAATTAGAGAAGTTTCTGATTTTGTGTTGAACCAATTTTGAATTAACTTATTCAAACCACGCCTTGAAAGTTTGGGGGTTAAAAGGTTCGTTTGTTGATACATCAGTTCTTTTAGATACGTACTTTCTATCATATTGTGACATCTAGAGTCCAAAGACAATCTCCAAAATTTGCATAATAAAAAGTTGCCACATTTTTCAGACTATTATAATATTTTTTTTCATTTATTTAAAAAAATCGTTGTTTATTTTCCGTTTCTGTTGAGCAATTTCAAATTGCAAACCACGGCATTTCAATGGATGGACGTTTATTTAAAAAAAACCCTACATAGCTTTAAGGTATGAGAAGTTGAGATAAGCTTATGCATTACCCATGGTGTCAGCGTTGAGATTAAAACTTTTTGGGAGCAAGTTCATTCCGATAGCGTCGCCCGCGTGGCTAGAACGTTCGCACTAGAGACGCGGAGTAAGGAGTTGATCCTTACATCGCGGGTTCGAATCCCACTGTGGGACGTGGAGACCGGTCCATCGGATGAGACCGTATAAACCAAGGTCCCGTAACGCAGTAGGTGCTGGCACGAAAAAGATCCCTCACTGCTCAATGGCCCTGAGTGCCGAGTACAGGTCAAAATTTGCATCTCTCCACCGGCAAGTGGTGGCGTCTCCATATGAGTGAAAAATTCTCGAGAGGGGCGTTAAACAATAAACAAACAAACATATCCGATAGCTGGTCCAAACTTGCATTCACCTTGCATCTAGGATTGCACACTACCAGTCCTACTAAGGGTATTTCATTATCTTACCAACATTTTCCGGATGGAGTGACTATGTAAAAAAGTTTATGGGGGAAGGCATTCTCACATCTAACTAAAACTTCTACCCTGATTAAAATTGTATGAATGATGCATTTTTGAGAAGCACTCTACCAGGCCTGTTTCAGGTTCTGCATTTGACGTATTTTTAATGGGGTCCATTCCAAAAGAAACTGCAGGGTCTTTTCTGACTAAAGATTGCATGTCTGGTGTATCCTAGGGATCACATTACAAGACTTCGGATGCTACAGCTAACCTACATTTTACAGATGAGTGACCCTGTTATAATTTTCGGATAAGTCTTTCCCAAGTAACTGAGTCCTATTAGGACCAAACTTGCTGGGATACTAGTAATTCATTTAGGGATGAACACGATTAGACATGCCGTGAATGCTACAATTGATAACGGAATAGATTAAAGTTTTTGAGCTCATCTATATTGAAGTAATTATAGACACTACTCGGAATAAAGTTACTTGGCTAATGCATCTATGGATGCACACTACTAAACAGTTTTCGAATGATGTATGTATCTGACCCACATTTTTACAATGATTGTACACATTGTTTTGAAGTACCTCAATTCCAAAGTAATTATACATCCTCATTGGTCCAAACTTGTATGGATGTTGTCTGTTGATACACTTCAAGACCTGCTTTATGTACTGCGTCTATTATATAAAAAGTTTTTGAGCATGTTTTTCATTCCAAATGAATTATAAATCCAACCAAGACCAAACTTGTATGCTTGTTGAATTTATCTTTTAGGAATACATACTACCAGAACATTCATTTGGTGTGAGACTTTGACTCACGTATAAAAATCGTTTGTCGATCTAATCTTGGTAAATGTACCCGTGTTTTATGTAGAGATCTTGTATATATTATATGTATTTATCTGAAGAGGAAGACTCTAAGTTGTTCCTTAAACGGACCAGAACAATCCTGGAATCGTATGAACTAAAGCAGATACAGATACTATTATTATCAATTGTTATACATTTTTTTCTTTTAGATATAGGTAACATACAACATGTCAGAGTCAGAGAGTCTTGGCGACTTTGATGATATTGGATTTCCAGAAACAGATGATGCTCTAGTTGTAGAAAATACGAAAATTCACGTTAACAAAGCTGTCCTTTCCCATCATTCACTAGTATTTAGCACCATGTTTTCTGGAAGCTTCAAAGAAAGCACTGCAAGAGAGATCACACTTGACAACAAGAAAGCTAAGGATGTTGTTGAGTTTCTTAGATGTTTTTTTTCCAAACATGATGTCTGCAATTACAGGTAAATTGGGCTCTTTTTGTTATTGTCAAAATAATCTAATATTTGTTTCTGTGTCTTTTAATTGTTTTATAAACTTCAGATAAAAAAAAAATATGCGACAATTTGAAAGATGCTGGTTTATCTTTAAAGCATATTCGTGTTTTATTAAAATGTTACTTACATGTATTTTAGCGTAATAGTATGTTTTTAATAATATTTTAATGTTTCAAAGAACTCTGATCTATTGATTTTAATTCAGAAATTTTGCAAAAATTCCCATATTTTATTTCTATATCAAATGTAATCTTCTTCCAAAGAAACTTAAATTCCAACTGATATATTTTTGTTGCTGATCAAATTCATATACTGCAAGGTTAACAAAGGAATCGCAGTCTAGTGTTAAACAGTTGACTTAAACCAAAGCAAATACC